CCACTTCGCCCTAAATGAGCCGACTGCTGCGTTTATTATAATGATCGACCCACCATCACCCCCGTTTTATATATCGCTGACTAACCGATTGCGGACGTCCTAACTAACAATAACCACCTGTTAACTAACCATGTCTCCATCTACGGACACGCACACACATACGCCTCACGCTTGCAGCTCCTTCCCTGTACCTCAATTCGTAGGCTTACTATTGTACATGTCGTACATGCCTCAAACTGACGTACGGAACAGGGGCTGTGCGTAGCGGTTTTTCCGGTGCGGCACATCAGGCCCCCCATCACCCGCTCTTCACCCAGAGGGCTCCAGAGGCCCTTTCGCAGGTTTGCACGATGTTGCCTCTCACGCGACAGTCGACAAATATAATACATACATACATATGCATACAAATTTACATAAAGGCATTCAGACGCGCACAAACACACGTATATAAATACAGACGTACACAAATAACGACGCATTGGTTTCATCCTGGATGATCGCACTGATGGTACTCATAGTACTACGGCAGGTACTACGGCAGGTAGTACGGCAGGTAGTACGGCAGGTAGTACGGCAGGTAATAACAATAGCAGACAATTAGAAATAGATACACAAAGAGTTTAGTAGTATATGCTCAGAGTTTAATGAATCGTACCGAATCCAATGCGCGTCTCCCCATTGACACTTGTCTCGCTCTCCCTCTCCTTCTCTCTCTCCTCTCCTCTCTCTCAAACAGCGACCCTTACCACGACCCTCGCAAAGCCAAGTCACAAACTCCTGCCAAGACAAATATTTGCCAGCGCCAAAATAATTTACAAGACACAATCCCGCTAGCTAGCTAGCTAGCTAGATATTCATGGCGGGTTCGAAGGACCCTCCTGCACGCGCCCGGAAAACACCTTCCCTCACAGCTGCGGGAACCGACATCGCAGGACCGAGCCAAAGTACAAAACTGACATAATTGTACAAACACGTGCCATATCCGTATTATGCCGTATTCCGTACTCCGTACATGCTGCAGTACAACAAACGTCGAATATACATTCGGGAATGGCACACACGCAAGAGAGCGGTCCTCGCTTTTGCAACACGCGCGCACAATCATACCACTTGGGGTGCCATGTACGTCATGTCGTACATGGCCTATTGCGGCAACGGAGGCGGCGCCTCTGTCGGTGTACCGCTAGATGCTTCTCCCCCCGGGACCTGGGGACCTTCCCTACCAATACCCGGCACGGCTGTAGCGGTCAAGATTGGTAGATCAGGATCAGGACAGGCACCCGATAGCTTAGCGGCACCCGCCACAGCGGCACCCTCCTGTTCCGCACCTGATCCAGTTCGGGAGACTGTTTGAGAGCGCTGCGGAGCGACGCCGCACGGGTCGTACACGTACGTGAGCATGAACCCCTGCGCCGTACGTCATACAAGCACATGGGTTACATGGTTTGGTGAGGCCGGGGGGAGGCGCAGAGAAGGATGACATGATGACGACCTGCATGAAGAACTGCGTTTCACACCCCAATATGCGAATGATGCTGCGCTTGGTATTCTTTGAGTGGGTGAGTGAGTGAGGGAATATGCCCCCCCCTCACTTCTCCGGTAAACAACTCTGTGAAGAGAACTGCGTGGTGGCGGATCCGTGGGCATGTGGACCAGTGCGAATAAAGTGCGAATAATACCAGGAAAGAACAATAACATCAATTCCCAACCGTCAACTGCCAACTCCCCAATCCGTACCTTGCCCTTGACGGGAATTCCCCCCGTGGAAAGAAATCCGTCGGCCGCGGCGCCCAATAAGGCCCGCGTGGCCGCAGAAATGTGTACGGCACCAGGTACACCCGTGGACTCCATTCGACTGGCAACGTTGACTGGAGCGAGAAGGGCAAGAGCAATACACAGATTCACG